GGTGCTGCTTTGCTCAGAATCTCTAGACCCAGCAGGCTCTGGTGACCATCCTGTGCTGGGGTGTGGTGGGTGTGGGGGTGGTCTCCTTGTCCACACCCTGTGGGGCAAGCCTTGTGGGCTGCCTCAGTGCAGGCCTCTGGGTTGGCACTGAGCTTTGCCTCCTCCCACACCCTGAGGAGTCTGAAGCTGCAAAGCCTCATTAGAGGAAACAGGCGGCAGGCCTGAGATCATTTGCCTACAAACTGCCCCCAGAGGGGAGCTGGCCTCTGCAACCAGAAGAACAAATCGCCAGCATTTTTCAGTTTGTTCTGTTCCATTCCACAAACATTTCTCCAGTGCTGGCTAGGTGCCAAACCTCTACTACAGGCATGTCCCTGGAGTGCCTCAGCCTACCGCAGTGGACATTTAAGGAGCAGTTTGGCTCCATGTGACACCTAAGGGTGGACTATTTCTCTCTGGCTGACGTGCTGGTCCTTCTGGAGCTCTCATGAATGGAAAGCTGTCTCTTGCAGGTTGGGGTTTTCAGGGCCAGCTTATTCCCTTTTAACTGGGCCATGCCACTCCCCCCAGGAGGTGCCATTGAACAAATGTTCCTCTGATTGTCTTGCCAGGCCCTGGGTCCTATACTGGATACCTGAGATACGAAATAGAGGCAGCTTCTTACGGCATTTGTATGTTTGGGGGAGACAGAAAATAAATGGCTGTAACATGCTTAAGAGAGTGGTAAGGGGGTATCAATTTATAACCAGAGACAGCAATCCAGGATTAAGGCTCAGAGGACTTTATATTGAACAGGGACGCTCAAGCATGCTGTGGGGATGCATTTGATAGGCTCCAGAGATGAGCTTGGTGGCCTGTGATACAGACCATCACCATCTGGGACTGGAGAACCCCTGTGTCAGGTTGAGGTTCATGGCTTTTGATAAGGACTTTCTTGGAAATGCAGACTGCTGGGGTGGGGGCCGGGGGGGGGATCTGGAGTGAATCTAGTCATGTTAGTGCATTGCCTGTAATCCCAGCATTCAAGAACAAGAGGGAGGAGGATGGCTACAAGTGTGAGGTCATCCTGCTCTACATTTTAAGCTCTGGGCCAGCTAAGGTGACATAGTGAGTCTCCTCCACCCTCAGCCCCTCTTTTCTAAACAAAACTGAAACAAAAAGGTCAAGAAATCAGGGCAAAAAGTGAAAGTGTGAGTGTTTTAGTGAGATTAGAAATGAGATGAACATATTGGCAGACACTGGGCAAACAGCATTGGAAGCCAGGGCTGCCTGGGGTCTACCCTGATGGCAGGCAGAGGTTGCAAAAGGCCACTGGGGGTCTCCAGAAGAGTGCAAGGCTGGGGAGTTAAGTCTTAGAGGAGACAGCTCTGGTTTAGCTCTGGTTAGTGGCCAGGAAGGGGCAAGTGTGGTGGTCTCTATAGTTTAGAGGGCCATCTTTAGGGACATTGAAACCAAATAGTGTGGTAGAGAGGAGAGTAGGTTGGGGTTCTCACCTCATACCTGCATCCGTCTGTGGGTGAAATGCTCAAACTCTGGGAAGAGGTACCCTTCTTTTTCACTGTAGTGTCTGTGCTAATGAGAGCACCCAGCATCTTAACAGGGCTCATCTGGTGGGGTGAGATTTTTGTCATGAGTCTGTGTGGCCCCAGGGCTGTAGGAGAAAACTGAAGACATTTAAAAAGACTTAGTAAGGAGAGTTTTGATTTTTTTTTGGCAAGTTTTTTTTTTTTCCAATATCCTAAAAAGGACAAAGCTGATGACACGTTATAATCAAGCTGCTAATATGCAATGCACCAATCTTTCTCACATGCAGCAGCGCGCTGTCTTTCTGCAGCCATTCAGCAGACATGATTGAAAGCACCGTTTTGCAGAATGAACTCTGTCTAGGAGGGAATTTTCAGAGGACTATGATGAGCCCTGCCCAGGCCATAGATGGTCCTGGATTCCTCTAGCCTCAGCTTCCTTATGATTGAGAGCGCATCTGGAACAGAGGTGACCCGAGTCCATACTCCCTGTAGAGAAACCCATTCCCTCCAGGCATGTGGCTCAGTTGCTGGAGTGCTTGCTAAGGTGGATCTCTATGAATCTGAGGCCAGCCTTCAGACCAGTTACAGCTACACAGTGAGACCTTAATCTTATTATTATTATTATTATTATTATTATTATTATTATTATTATTGTTGATGATGATGATGATGATGTGTGTGTGTGTCTTCTAATGCTGCTCTATTTCACCAGCTTCTGGCCTGAGTGGTTCCACTAGTCTTCTGCCTGTCCTTGATTCAGTATAAAACCTTGAAGCAATCCTTTTGTTCAGAAATACACCTGACTGTGACCGGCCCAGCTTAACAGCTGCTGCCTCCAGGAGCTTCCATGATTTTCAGGAGGTACCAAGAGCCCTGCAGCTCCTGTCTCTAACTTCCTGCCTGCTGTCTCCACACTGTGGACACTGGCTTGACCTCAATGGCCATTGACTTTCCACACCTTGTGTCTCTATCAGATCAGGCTTTTTGCCTTGGAGCATCTTCCTCCAATTGATAGAACCTTCTTTATATGTTGTTCTCAAGACCCGATCTCGATATATAACCCAAGCTGACCTTGTACTCAAGATGATCCTCCTGCCTCAGCCTCCTGAGCACTGGGAATGAAGGTATGTACTTATCTCTTTCCTTAGGACCTTCCATCCCCTCCATCCATCACACGTGAGACAGGGTCGCATGTATCCCAGGCTGGCTTCAGATTCACTCTGTATTCGAGGATGACCCTGAACTAGTGATCCTCCTGTTTCCATATCTTGAATGTGGGGATGCAGGCATGCACTATTGGAATGGGTTTATGTATCGCTGGGAATCGAACCCAGGGCCTGCTGCATATGAGGCAAGCACTCTGTCAACTGAGCTAACTCCCTGGCTTTCCTTCCTTCAGTCTTAACTCGAATGGTTGTTTGGGCAGCTTTTTCATGCGTGGAGCTTTCTCTTGGCTGTGTGCTCCCCTGAGGAAGAAGGAATAGTCCTCAGGGTCCCTTGGCACCTGACAGGACTCCATGGTGGCACTGTGTCTCAGGTGGGCTACTGATACATAGTATCAGTTAAGAGACTGTCCTTGGGGTCAGAGTTAGGGGAGGTGGGTCAGAGTTGACTCAGAGGAAGTGGGCCTGAGCTGCTGACCCATAGGAGAAGCACTCTTTGTGCTTTTTTCTCACTTCCTTCCTGGTCCTAGTGCTGAAAGAAAACAGACAGAACCAGGAGAAAAGGGGAAATGGATATATTTTGAGCTAGGGTTTGGAATCTCCTAGCCTAGAGATGAATAAACAAAGTCTGAGTCTTTCTCTCTTTCCTTTTCTGACACTCTTTCTGCCCACATAGGATATGCAGACACTGGCTACAAAACTGACTTAGAGGGCATTATTGTCTTACAGCTCTGTCATGTGCATGCTGGAACTCACCCTTCTCTTTATCTGTCTTGTTGGATCTAAGTTCAAGTCTTGACAAGCACTTGAGGCTCTTATGCCGCCTATTTGGGCCTTGCTTTCTTCTGCATGCCATAGAATGGACAATACCTTCCTCATAGGGCGGTGTCACTCTGAAGGTCTGAGCAGGTGTCTTTGTTGGTGGAGCAGACACTACTTTCAGGTCAGCAGATTGAGAGCATTGGCCATCATCTGGGCCAGGGCCAAGCACACAGTGCCATGCCAGTCTTCTTGGGACTGTCTCATTTTTACAACTTAGTGCCTCCTTCCCTCCAGCTCAGTGCTGAGCACATTGGAACCAACTTACTGTCTTAGTTATTGTTCTATTCCTATGAAGTGACAACATGACCAAAGCCACTTATAACAGGAAGCATTTAACCGGGGATTTGATTACAGTTTTAGAGGGAGAATCCAAGACCACCATTGGGGGTAGCTGGGCCTACCCACCATGGGCTTTAAAAACCTCAAAGTCCATTCCCAGTGACACACCTCCTCCAAAAAGGCCACACCTCCTAATCCTCCCTAAACAGTTCTACCAACTGGGAACCAAGCATTCAAACATATGAGCCTATGGGGGCCATTCTCATTCAAACCACCACAGTTTCCTACCGTACATTTTCCATAAAGGCTTGTGGATGGGGTGTATCAATAAATTCATCATTAATGCAGGACAGGGGGTGGGGCTAGGATAAATAAAAGCAAATGTTGGTTTGTGAGGTGAGTCAGGAAGTGACAAAAGCATCTGGAAGGTCCCAGAGATGGACAGTGAGGAAAGAGATGGACAGTGGAAAGTGAAATGTGCTTGGCACAAATGGAAGGACACAGGGTCCTCACTGCGTAAGGCTGTTGCTCTGAAGCTCGCTTCTAGGGTCTAGTGCTTTCTTGGACGTCTTGAGAGAAGGCAGTGGCTGGTTTCTGCTGTTCAAGAAGATCTGTCACAAGTCCCCAGCTGCTCTTCGGCTCCAGCAGCTCAAGTCCTTTCACTCTGTGCACCACTGCCCTCTAAAGTGTCTGCCAACTGCTTCTTCCTTCCAGGTGGGAGGTGGGAGGTGGGAGAGGAGGGCTTCAGGCCCAGGCTCAGGTCTGTTTTTCAGAAATGAAAAGCTCAATTTCTCACATGGTTGCAGCCTTTCCACCTAAGTGCTTGTGTCATGGCACTTACAGAAAGCCCCCCGGTGTGTGTGTTAGTGCTTAGTGGGTAGGCACTTGTTGTCTCCTTGCAAAATGGGGACAAAACAACTTGCCCTGTCTAGCTGCTGGGACTATGGTATGCGCCAGCTGGCCGGTGGGGTTCTTACCTGCTGTGAGTTGCAGGTGCAGCTGCTGGGGGCAGATACTGCTAGCCCACTCGTGGGAGGATCTTCTCAGGGATGTGCATCAGGATCTCCAAGAAATTCACTGGTATGCCCTTCGTGAGCAGCAGGACCTGGACTCAGATGAGCTTGGCTACTTCAGAAGCTGTGGCAAGACACACAGACCTGGACTACGGGGAGGGTTCTGCATCGGAAGAACGTCCTGGAGCCTCATCTGTCTATTGGGCTGGGGGCAGGGCCTTTGTGAAGGCGGGTTATGCTCGGATCGCCTCTGGGCCCTTCCTCCAGTCCCGAGGCAGGTTTACTTCAAGGCAAAGCTGCACCCCAGCTTCCGGCCTTCTACGCTCCAGGCTCCTCTCAGGGAGCCTGTGTCCCAGGATTCAGAGCAGTCCTAAGCTTTGTCAGAGAAAGATCATTTGTATTGTTCATTTATTAGCTTCTGGGTTGGGGGTTTAGCTCATGTACCTGGCCCTGGGTTAGATTCCCAGCACCCACAAACCGTGTGTAGTGGTTATGTGTATAATCTCAGCACTTGGGAGGTGAAGGCAGGACAAACCAGAAGGGTGACATGGTCTTTCGATTGTGGAGCATAGCTGGGCTGGAAAGGGACTATCAGAACCCAATGGGGCTTTCCATGGGAAGAGGCTGGAGGAAGCCTGGCCTGGATGTCTTTGCTCCAGCAGCTGGATGAGGAGTCTAGTCACTTTGGGGCTTATGGATACTTCTGGGAAAGCTCAGCCGAACTTTGCTGCTCATGAGGAAGCCAGGCTAATAGGCTGTGCTGTTCTCTTCTGTAGTCCCAGAGAGGGCTGCCTCTCCTTTCCCATCGTCAGTGCCCACTTTAGGGGAGAAAGGGAGGAGAGCAGGTTGGATGCTACAAGGAAAGATCAGGGGCCTGGTTATTGGGCTAAAGGTTTCAAATCTCACATCTAATTGGTTGTGGTGGCACACACTCATAATCCCAGCACCAGGGAGGCTGAAGCAGGAGGTCAGTTCAAGACCATCTACATGGTGAGTTCCAAGGCTGGTTCTGGCTACATGAAACCTCATCTCAAAAAAAAAAAAAAAAAAAAAAAAAAAGATTTTACCACTTCTGTCATGTCAGTGAAAGTAAAATTGTTAAATAGTTTTTTTTTTTTTTAATTTTCATTTTCAAAGTTTCCTTCCTGACATGGGGTTGTGATGAGCCTCAGATAATATAGGACTTAACGTAGGGCCTGGCACAGAGTAGGTACTCTGATTGTGTTTAATGGACTTTCCCATGATCCTCATTAGCTTGTAACCTGCACTTTATCCATTTGCCTGTGTCTTGAGTCTATGTGTGCTCCCTGGGTTTCATTTTGTTCATCTTGTGACCGTCCACAGACCATATACAGGGCCTTTGAGGCACTTTGATAGGCTGGTAAAAAGAAACGAATGTTCTTTCTCCTGAAACCTCAGATACAGGGCACCTACTGTGTGCTCCTGCCAGTGGTTTTGCCCTGCAGAGTTCCAGCGGCTGTGACTGTTGCTAGGCTCCTGCAGGCCAGCAACTCTGTTCTCTTGCAGAGCCCTGTAATCAAATTGCTGTTAGTGACAATCTGACATCTGCGGCTCCCTGCCGCGGAATGCAAGCACCCTGGGAGTCCTGTCTCCAGGTTCCAGTGCCTGGTACCAGAGGTATGCGACAGGAATTCCACGCTGAGGACAGGGCTCATGTCTGCTTTTCCCTCTCATGAGTCAAGCCTGCCATTTTCTAGGTGGGGCATGCCTCCTGCCTTGTGAAAATCAGTTTTCTCAGGTTCAGATTGAGCAGCCAGATAAATCAAGTGTTCTGTTGGGTCCTGGAGGAGGTAATGCTGGAAGTCAGCTGTTGTTTTCAAAGGATCTTCAAGGGTCTTTCCATTTGACCTGTGATCTGTCTGCCTGGGCTAGAGGGACTGACAACACAAACATTCCATTCCTAGTGGACCCTTGCTGCTGGCTCACAATGGGTTTGGAGCGCTGTGCAAAGCTGTTTACGTTTCCTCAGCAGAATTTATTGCCCAGCCTGGCCTTCTGCAATTAATTATAAGCCAAACAAATAACGTGTCTCTGGGAGGTTGGGGCTTGGCATAAACATTTATGTATAGCCAGGGGCCAGCCCAGAAGCTGGTGCTTCCCTCTGGCCTTGGGAACAGAGGGGCGGGATGGGGTGGGCCCACTTCCTCCTGAGCCAGGGAGGTCCTGTGCTTGTGTTCTCTCTTTCAGCCCTCCAAATTATCCCAGAATAGGATCCCTAATGGTAAAGAGAGACTCAGACAGAGTTAAGCAGGTTTTTCAAGACTACACAGCTTGCAAGGAGAGTTGTCCATCTGCCCATCCACTCACCCATTAAGTTCTTATCACATGGGAAAGGGGGTCTGAGGGTGCTAGTGATAACCAATGATTGTATGCAGAGCTTTTCTGTGATGGCTGAATCTGTAGGCAGAAGGCAGTGGCCTTGGGACCAGGCATGTGGCTCAGTTGCTGGAGTGCTTGCTAAGGTGGATCTCTATGAATCTGAGGCCAGCCTGGTCTACAGAGCCAATTTCAGACCAGTTACAGCTACACAGTGAGACCTTAATCTTAATATTATTATTATTATTATTATTGTTTTGTTTTTCGAGACAGGGTTTTCTCTGTGTAGCTTTGGAGCCTATCCTGGCACTCGCTCTGGAGACCAGGCTGGCCTTGAACTCACAGAGATCTGTCTGCCTCTGCCTCCCGAATGCTGGGATTAAAGGTGTGCGCCACCAACGCCCAGGTTAATCTTTTATTATTATTATTACTTCTTTTGCTTTTTGAGATTATAATATAATTACACCATCCCCCCCCTTTCCCTTTCCTCTTTCCATACCTTCTCATATACCCCTCTGTAGATGGATCTTTCTTTGGGCCGCCAGCTCATAAATAACGATACGGAGACTTATTAATTATGAAAGCTCGGCCTTAGCTTAGGCTTGTCCCACAGCTCTTACAACTTAAATTAATGTGCTTTTATTAATCTACTTTACCATGTAACTTTTACCTTTCTTTCATTCTGTATGTCTGACTCTCTCCATGTCTCATTGGTGTCTCCCTGCACCTTGATTATCTCCTCTGTACTTCCTCTCTCTGCCTGGAAGTCCTGCCCGCACCTTCTGCCTACCTATTGGCTGTTCAGCTTTTTATTGTACCAATCAGAGAATACATTTTCATGCAGTATACACATATCTCACATCAACCCTCTTTGCTCTCTTTTAAATCCATAGTCTCTTTTTGATTAATTGTTGTTGCATTCATATATGTGTATACATATATATTCCTAAATATAACCTGCTCAGTCTGTTACTTGTGTGTCTGTTTTTAGGGCTGACCATTTGGTATTGGATAAGCGATCAGTGTGCTCTTTGCTGCGGGGGTGGGGGGTGGGGGGTGTTTCCCACTGTCGGTGTTCCTTAGTTGCCTGTAGTTCTTTGTGTAGGCCTGAGGACTGATGGGCTTCCGGGCTCACTTCATCATGCCTGTTGTTGCTGTCCTCGTTCAGTTCACGTCTAGGCAGTGAGACCTTATCTAAACAGAAGTCCTAGGACTCAGCCTTGGTTACATAGGTAGGGGCTTTAAAGACCCTATCCCCAAACAGAAGACAATCGTGAGGGTCTTTAGTGGTCCCATTCCACCTGTCTTACATGGGGATGGCTTGGCTGGGAGCAGCATCAGTAGGAATAGCTGCTCAAGGACAGCCTCATTCCTCGCCTCCCCAGATCTGGAATTCTACACAGGCTGAATATTCTTCATGCTAGGGAAATGTTTTAGATTTGAGATTTTGGAATACTTGCACATATTTCATAAAATTTCATGGGGATGGGATCCAATTTAACATGAAATCCATTTGTTTCATGTATGCCTTATATTGGTAGCCTGAAAGTTTCAGATTTGGGAGTATTTAGGACTTTAAGATTAGAGATAATTAACCTCCCTTCTGCTGTTGGGCTGGATGGCTCAGAGGAGGTGTGATTCCGCATGGTTCAAGGTTTGGGGGCAGGAAGAGGTATTGGGGATTCTAGACCAAGGATGTTTAAGATTGAGAAGTAAAGGCACTGGCCACCAAGAGCCCCTCATTAGCAACTGCTCTATGCCCTTCCCAGTCCATTGCTGGTTCTGGGTTTTCCAGCTTCCTGTTCAGCCAACTTGGCTCACTAGTCTTGCTCATGGATCTCTAGAGCCATCTGCTGGGGGCCACGTCCTCTTTGCAGAGGAAAACAACGAGGGTGAAGAAAGGCTCCAGGCACTGCTGCAGATTCCTACCTTACAAATAGGGTGCTTGGTCTCTGGCCTTGGGTTCTGGAAACCCTTGGTTGGGCGGAAGCACATCCCCAAGGGTGGGCTGCAGCCCGTGGGCCTCTGCGGCTTTGGCCTTAAGCTCACAATCCCCCTGCTTTCAGGTGCTAGGTTAATAGGCGTGCGTCTGCCACTTGGATTCTTCCTTTTAAATGTTCATGGCATGCTATGTGAAATTCATCTCAGTCTGTGTTTTAAGTTGATAACAGTCATAGTGGAGACTGGGCTCAACCTGAGCTGTACACACCATGCCAGCCCCCTTCTGGAACCTGGGTGTAGACACATAGGGTCAGAGAGGAAGGGATGTGTGGAGTGAGAGGATGCTGGAGAGACACACATTGGGGAGGCATCTGATTTCAGAGGCCAAGTTATAACCTGTACCACAGATGGCCATTAGTGTTGCATTCTGGTGATGGGAACAAAATAATCCCTACTTGTGGGGTCGGGGTGGGGGTGGGTGTTACGGGTCATATCTAACTAGGATACCAAAGTTCTGGTCCAAGATGTATAGATAGGCAAATTGTGGTATATCCATGCCACAGAACGTTATTCAACTGAAAGGCAATGGAATCCTGACTCAGGCTGTAATTAGATGAATCATTGTGAAGACATCCTGCTAAGAGATAGAAGCTGGGTACCAAAGGCCACATATTGTATTAGAGAATTTATGTGAAATATCTAGGACAGATGAGTCCATGAGATGGAAAGCAGGCATTGACTGGTTGCCAGCAGATAATGGGGAGGGGACAGGGAAAAAAGATTTAATGGGCAAAGAGAGTGATGGAAATGTGCTGGAAGCAGACAGGGTTGCAGCTTTGCACAGCCATGTGAAGATGCTAACTGCCACTGACTTCTTCGCTTTCCGAAAAGGCTTAATTTTAAATTTATTTTAATTGTGAATTAACTAATCATGTGCGTTTATGTGTAGGTACATGTGCATGTAGAAGCCAGGGTTGATGTTTGGTCTTTTCCTCAGTT